CCGTCCGGCTCTCGCCCCTTTAGAATGTCATACCTTTGAAGCCGATGATCGTAGCATCGCGAGGTAAATTGTAATGTGAGGTATGGGTAAAATTATCCAATTGTGAAAAATGCATCTAAAAAACGCGGGTCGAAACGTAATTGGATCTTGGCGACAGGCCGTTGCAACGTTTGTGCATGCAAGAATTGGCGTCATTTCTGCAGCAAGAGCAGATACGGAAGGGAGGCCGGCTGCTCGGTGTAGACGGATGGCCCGTTTACGGATCATTAAGCGATGTCAACACGGTCTGACTGGCAGATTGTTAGTAAGCGGCTGCGAGGCGGCCGTGTCACACTTTTTTGGGAAGAGGGCCGGATCTCTTGTTACTCATACCCACCCAAAATATTTACGTTTTCCGCAAACCTTGGTGGCAGTCTTCGCAAACAAAAGCCATTCCAAGTGCTCGATTTTGCAGCCTCAAAACTGCGTGCCATGCCATGACCTGCCAACCAGTCAATGTCCAAAGCTCATGTATCTTTAAACTTATGGGTAAACGTAAAATATCGCCCCGCCTTTGCCCGGCATGAGGCGAACTATTCAGTCGCAGAGGTTTTGACTTAATGCACATGATAATGCTCCCGTCTGTTGCCACCTTGCTCGCCGCAAGAGGTGTTCTATTGGTACATGCCAAGAGAGGTGTTAGGCTGTTGCAATGACATGTCTTGTATGTCCAGTAATAAATTCGGATCAGTTTTCGTCTGGTTTGTCCCGTTGTCTCACCACTCTACCTCCAGTCATGCACCGTTGACTGTCAAAGGTTAACCATTGTATAACCAGTAGGAAAGGCATGTACTGATCTTCAACTTACTTGCATTCATCCTTATACGCGTGGGGTTTATTGGTTGTGGCTTTGCAGTTTGCTTACCAACGCCTCTGCACTTGTTATCGTTTCAGCGGCAAAACAACGCTGAGCGGTTTCTCGTGTCTCCCGACTTGAAATACGTCCTGCTTATAGGACGACAAACAAAGGTAACGACCCTTCTTGACACCATTACAGTGAAACCCAATCTTGGTTGTGATGCGCCTATCACGGAATATTTCCGTTGCACTTACGTGACGGTGAAGGTAAATGCTTTGAATACAAATGCTTTACGAAATTGTGATATTCTTTACCCTGCCTTTGCATTAGCATTGCACCATGCCCTCTTTCTGCACAAGTTACCGGCATCTTCCTCGTCATAGTCCAAAGTTCATGCTTCACAGTGACTTATTCAGAGCTGGCCAGTGTTCAAAAGCGTTCTACCGACAAGCGGTAATGGGCTACTAGCTCACACTGAACCGCTTGGCGTGCTATGATGACATCGTGTTTTCCTTCAGTTATACTGCGCTAACAGACCATTATTCATCACTTCACAGCTCTCCGAGTACACCAGCGAGGCTCAATGCTGGCTGTGGCATGTGGACACAGGGTGGTAGCGAGTGCCGAACACCCTCATTATGTGCATCCTTCTAGCCGTCCCATGCGACGGGCTGCCGCTCATAACATTCAGTGTGGACTGGCCTGCCTTGTATTTGAGCTAGCCATTATCTTTGGTCATGCAAGCGTGAGCTTTCCTCGCTCGTTATATTTGGCACACTTAATAATCAGTTTGGCCGCGCTAGAATCCCATGGGATGATGTTCCCCTAGTATCAGTCACGTGGAACGCGAGCTGATGGCTCTGTGCAGCGAAGCATTCCAGGCTAGTACTTGTGCGGTAGGGTGCCTAACTCAGCTCCCACACACGCTTAGTGAAAGCGTAATTACATGGGCAGACCACCTTTAACCAGAGCTCATAAGCCCGCAACTCGTGGAAACATGTCGCGGGTGTTGTAAACCAAATGAGTCACAACACCCTTCAATACAAAACAATTTTGCCGCAAGCCCTGCACACGGGAGACCAAAATTCTGTCACAATTTAAATTTGTGTCGTGACGCTATGCCCACACTCTCACGGCCTAAGTACCGCTTACACGCCAGGCGCGACCGAGAGAGTGTGATGCAGTGCGCGCTGCGGTCGTTTCGGGCCATGGCGTGACTTGGTCACCCGCCTCACGACCCCGGCGCATTTGGGCCAAACGTGAAAGGCGTCTTTTGTGCCGCCGTAAGTCAGCCATTGTTGGCGGCTCTGCTTCGGGGCAGTCGAGGCCTCCTGGGGCGGGACAATGGGGCGTGCCGTGCGTGCCGCCGCTCCGTCTCACTCGCAGTCGCGCCACTCGGCCGCGGGGGCTCTCAGACAGGGCGCCTTTCGGAGCGAGCTCGTGTCGCGCGGCGGCCGGTAACTCGGTACCACTAGAGCCTTCGGGCGGATGATGTCCGGAGGTGATGAGGTTAAGGGTGTTCTGCAGTTCCATCTGTAGTTTGCCCACATTTCCTGACATGAGGTCGCTATGTGATGGCGTGACGGCTCGTAACATGAGTGTCTGGCTTAAACTGCATCCGTATGAAGTGCGACGTTATGATGAAGAAGTCAATAAAATGAACTGAGAGATTGCCAAGTCATAGCTACGTTTCGTTAAATGGGATGCAAATTTGTACACACACTTCGCAATTGACTACTTCGAGTACTGCTCAATGGTTCGAAGCCATTTACTTAACGTTTGGGCCGTGTTTCAAGTCCACCTAATAGTAACCTAAATTTATTGCATTGCTGATTTTTACGGAAAAGGAAGATTCAACTGGAATGCCTTGCATACTTTTGTAACAGTTCAGGAAAATTTCAACGGGTTAGGCACTCTGCAAAACTCGAATACCTGTTGTTTCTAGGAAAATTCTGCTGCCTAAATTACCTTGCCCTCCCGTGCTCGAACCAAAAAAACCATATGGCTGTTTTTAGTCTTGGTAGCTGTATGCGATGACATGTTTTTCTTCCTTTTTGCCGTTGATCCATCGCGTGGATATTGAGGACCTCTGTCCCCATCAACCATCAGCTTGCTCCCACCCTCCGCCGTTTTTGTGCCGATCGGTCCAGTTCGAGCGTCCCTCATCGGCTCTGGCCTTGTGCCCGGCGCAGACACACCACACCGCTGAAGCCGGAGTCGTGGGGAGTCGACCGGTCGCACCCGCCGCTCCAGCACGTGGCTTGGGTGCCTCGGAGCGGTGACCCGGCACGCGCGGGCAACGCCCTGCTCATGGTGCACCGTGGCAACGTGTACTACAAGGAGCGGGCGATCAGCGCGGACTCGTACTCCGTAACCAGCGACGGGGTACCAAGCCTCGTATACCACGGCGTACCCGACCTCCTGTACGCAGGTACGACCGCTCGTGGTCGGACAGATTTCTGAGGAACGTCTTCCGTGGCTAAGAGGTTGCACATGGCCTCCTGTGTGTCAGACGTTCGGCGTGCGATGATAATGTGTTTGTAATATGGGTCAATATCGGTCAACATCGGTCAATATAGGTAAATCCCCGCTCTGATCAGTGCCTTCGTCATTTTGAACGGGTTTTAAGCCTACGTAAGACGTTTATGCTGTTTTCCTAGAACGAGCAGGTCTTATTTAAAAAGTTTTTCAACTCCAAATA